ATAAACAGTCAGAAAATTCCGTATTTCGTTACAGCGATACTCTTGTCGGATTACACGTCGTTCGAAAGATATCGTTGGAAAATGCCATTCCAATTCCATATTATATGAATAATCTAAATATTATATAATGGAGCATTTGAAATTCAATTTAGAGACACGCTGCTATCAGATCTCGCTACGTCGCGTAGCATCTCAAGATACATTTACCTTTTATACAGTTACGAAATTTAAGGTCGGTATATAATAATGCGAAAGACGACAAGGCTGCACGAGAGCACTATTACGTATCATTATAATAGACACTGCAAACATGATAGGAGACGTAAGGCACGCTCGCTTCACTTAATGCAGCTGCTGTCATTATCGTGCACTAACTGCTCATTATATCGTAATAAGCGCCCAATACACCCGCGTGTGTTGTATGTGTCCACGCGGAAACGGATCGCGAACTAATGCGAACCCATTTGTACCGACGTAATTACGCTACCTGTTACGTGGAAACTCGTAGCCGACATCAAGATCACATCGTGCAACTTCGATTCGGCTAATCGTGGAAGATGAATCCGGCGTCGATAGTACCGCGGAGACTTACGTTTAAGAGTAATTCGAAGGTTCCATTAAATTTTATCAATTTTTTTGAAGCTATAGATATAGTGGAAGATAATTTTTTTCACAGCCGTTTCTCACTTTTTTAAGGAAATGGAAAATCGATTGATGTTCCCAATATCGTTTTTAATTTTCTATCTTTGTGTTATTAACTCGCCGCCTGCAATCATATTTTCATTCTGCGTCCGAATCTTTTCTGTCTAATCCAAGTTTTTTTTTTACTGTTACAGACTTTCAAAAAATATGGGAGGTTGAGGATTACTTTTCAATATTCTCTACATTGAGAAAAAAATGTATTGAATTTTAACAAATATTTATTTGAATAGTATCAATTTAATTAAACATTTATTTACAGTGAACATTCACGAAATAAAAAAATGATAGTTAAATTAAGGATTTTTTTGTACGAAGTAAATATACGTTTATATTTAGTAAATATTCAGTTAGTATTATTCAAACAAATATTTGTTAAAATTTGATATATTTTTCTCTCCGTGTATTACAAGATATTCACAAGATATTTTAGGAGAGAAAACAAATTCTGTTCTTCTTTATTTACAAGAAATTTGAGAGTGAAATTTTGCTCGTGTCAACAAAGACCCAAAGAGATGCAGATGGTGGGTTAATCAATAACGCAGCCAAATCAAAAATTAATTTTTTATTTATCATACATATTTATGATGAATTTGAGAGTAAGCATTAATATTGTTTTTATCATTTAAGCACGATTACGATTAAATGTTTTACACTATACGCCTCATTTACAGGAAACATTTAACATTATCTCGATTAAATATTTGGTCAACGAATGCACCGCCCGAAATTGGCTTTAATCGTTGCATTTTAGATTATTCCTATGTCGTTTGCAGGACCATACGGAATTATTTTATGCGAGTGGAAATACGCACGTAACTTTTTAATAAAACCTATAAACTTAGCGATCGAATCGTAATGATATTGCGAGACGAACTGAGAATCGATATCATTCTATGAAAAATAAAACTGAAGCTTTGTACTTTTCATATGGAAAATTTCAACGGAACGCCATTGCAAAAACACAAAATTTAACCGCGAATGCTAGTATTATTGAATGATATGGTATTGTTATCGATATGTAGTAAATTTTATGATCATTTTTAATTAATGTAACACAAGTTTTTCAAACACTTTACACTTTTTTTTTAACGATCTAATATTTATAATCTAAATACATTATTAACTTAAAAAGAAAGAACGAATTATAAAATTCAATCTTAAAATAATATAAAGTAGATATATAGTCCAGTTGTGTGTGTGTGTGTGTATGTGTGTCTCCTCATAACACTTAAATAAAATATATAATAACACAAAAAACTGCTTAAAAATTAAAACGCTTTCTGTTATAATACCGACCATTAGGGAATCCAAACTGACATATAACGGACAGAATTTAAAAAAATAGAATTTTTTTGTCTCCACTTGTCCTAGTTTTTGACATGGCAGATCAGACTTCGTAATGACTAAAAACATAGTTTTAGCGACCTTACTCACATCTACATAAAATTTACGTATCGATAACATTCTACATTAAATAACATAAATCTCGCAATGTTGATTCTCAATATTTTGTTTGCGTTGATTGCTTCCCAAGAAAAATAGTGAAAGAGAAAGAGAAGGGGGTGTGTTTGCGATGACGAGACGTTCCGCGTAGCGCGAAATACCTATCTAACTCTTCTCTCGAAGCCATTCATATTCATGGAAGTCATTAAACGCGATTTCCGAAGGTAGCCGAGTTGATGGGTACGAGATCGCGCCGGCGGACTTTTCTCAGCGAGATTAGATCAACGGAACAAATATTTGAGAGCTCTCGTTGCGCCGAGACTCTGTCTTTGCGCGCTCTCTTCATCCTCCATGCTCTTCGATATCCACTCCGCATAAAAACCTGCTCGTCCGTAGAGCGAAACTTCGCCGTCTAAGTTTTCGAGTCTCAACATCGATTCGAGGAGAGGTCCGAGTGCGGCCTGAGAATAAATCGCGCCGCGTTTGTGAATGCTTCATGACTTTCGGAGTTTCTTCGTCTGCTCGGTGTCTGTCAGATAAATAATTCCTCTGCGGGATTGGGATCCGTGAAATTTGCACGACATTTTATATTAATGTAAAAAAACAATTATAATCCATTAGCACTTTTCATTGTTCTACAGTTCCACATAAAAATAATTAAACCAAAAACCAAAAATGAAAGTATATAAGCCCGTATCAAACCACCGACACTTACCACTCTGCAAGCCGACTCGACTGTCGACTCTGACTGCCGACCAATAATGGACCAATAATGGACCAATTACAATAAGACTGATTCAATGACTGATTGGTCCATTATTGGTCGGCAGTCTGAGTTGGCAGTCGGCTTGCAGAGTCGGTAATCTGATACGGGCTTATGTTAACTTCGCGAATCTGGCACGTTCTTCTCTAAAGTAGAAGGAAACAATAAATATTATCACTTTTCGCAGATTCCAATTTCAAATTCCAACAATTATTAATTTTTTATACGCTTTGAATATTAAACACAGCACTTGGAGATAAAGTGTCGCACTGATTATTTATCGCAGTTCTAGCGACATTATTCTATTTTTTGGTTTTCCGTCGTCCAAGAGGAAAGTTGACGAACTTTGGAAGACACGTGATAAGAAACACAATCGTTCGTTAATAAAACGAGGAGAGAAAAAAGCAAGAGGAAAAAAGCAAACAATTGGAAGAAACAACACATTGTATTATAGATTAGCTTTAAGTGTGGCGAAACGAAAATGGTACTTGATGATGTTAAGAAATTTTTTTGCCGATATTATTTGATTACTCAATAATCTTCTCTCTGTCAAATTGAAAAATAGTTTTTCTCCTTTTCTAAGAAACTGAATTTTTGAGTTACGTCACTTTTGGTACTAAGAGACATGTAACGTGATGTCAAATAAGTGTCGAGTAAGATCAGTGCGATAGCATC